TTGTCAACTGGAATTATTTTCTCTGTTCAAGAAGACAAAACTATCAGAACCTTGTTAACGATGGCTCACTCTAATCATCTAGTTGTCTTTCATCATCACACCTTAGACAATAAATCTTCGGGCTGTTGAGGATTCATGGCTTCTGATCACCAGTTCCCGACTGGTTCTCTTTGCAGTCCTTTTTATAGTTTACACTGTGTTATCCATATACACTTCGTTGTTTGTTACAACATACATCATTATAGTTTTGAGTAATTCAATATCATTGTAATAGTTTAGCTGAAAGTAGCTGGTAATAGAGCAATCAGTATCATCAGATTTTCTTGCCTTTTCTTTTTTTTTTTTGTTTGTTGTTTTTTCAGATTTCTATACAATCCACTACTCCTCTTGCCTTCCAACGATCTGATTTCACTTTCCCTCTTGCCGAACATAAATCATCCTTGCGAGTATCTGGTTAGGTGTTTTCATATTGAGTATCGTTTGTTTCTTCTAATCTGGGCCATTTCTTACCATCTTCTCTTTTCTTTAATCTAGTTCCCTTTCCTATATAAAACAGCACGAGATATCATTATAACACTAATGTTGTAAATCATCTCCATGACACAATCACGTGAAGTAACTCTGTAAACACTGAACGAAAAATTCTGCAGTTACCGTTGTCGAAGTCACTTTCGTAAAGTATTACAATAAAACTTTTTACATGAGCTTTGTATTTTTATTATAGCGCAGAATAAGGTTTAGACGTATTCGTTCATGCAGTTTGCCATGAAGTAATCTCCGAGGAAACGATTCGTCTTTTGAGCTTCTAATTTATCTGTTGCAATCACTTCTGAAATTTGATATGTTTTTAAAAAGTGAAATAAAGTATAAAGGATATAATTTTAAAATAAACGATTATGAAGGGGTTCGCATTCCACTGGTATTTGATCAGCTAAGGGTAGCAAACCATTGCCCAGCTAATGAATCAATGTAATTCTGACACCTGATATTACTTAGTTTTTCATCGATGTGACAATCATTCAGTTACCTCTTTATCTGAAAACTTCAGGAATGAAAAACTACACATCCAGAATATTTGGCAATGTAACCTCTCTTCCTTGAGTTGCATGTTCTTAACATGTAGTCAGCACAGAAATGAAACATGACTGTTTTTGATCCAAAATCGGGTCAAACAAGCCTCCCGTATCTCCGTAATCGTGATATTGACCATTAACATCAACTTGTATGCGATCTGCTCGCTCTCTCGATTCAAAGAAGCTGTCAAATAGCCGTGATGAAAAGTTGGTAACGAAGATAGAGGCGAAAAAAGCTGTAAAAAAAATAAGAATCTTGAGTATTAAAATTTTTAGCTTGAACGTTCTCGACAGTCACTTAGTAACTCGAGCTAGTATCAGAAAAGTGTCAATTAGTCCGTTTGCTCAAGAAAGGCTTCCGTTAGACATGTGCCATGCACCGATTGCCGCTCTTCCTCTGGGCTTGCTTCGAGTGTACTAGGTGTGGGTCTCAATAGAAACCTGGTACTTATTTCATAAGCTTTGCTTATTCTTATTCTTACTCTGCGTTTGATTATTCTTACGAGATTTAAGATCAGCAATCTTATAATACTGCAAAAAAATCTAAAATCATTAGCAGCATAGATTTGATAACAAATTTTCGCAGCGTTACTCATAAGAACATCCGGACAAAGAGGTAGAATACACAGCTGCATCGTAGAACTTAGATTTAGTTTGGAAAATTACCATTTTTTACAATCAGCTGACTGATGTATGGTCCATTAGGAAGCAATAGCGATATTTCTACTACTGATAGTTTTTTACATTTCATTTATTTTTGTCATTATACGTGACCCCATCATCTCCATCACAAATTACTGTGCATTTAATAGACCCCTTGATAAAGAGTGATGTGCAAAAACATTTGCGTCAGCTGGGATTAATTTATTACATGATACGTACAGGTATAAAAACTCATCCTGTTTTTACTTTTTTGATGACTTCCACCCGCCATAAGTTCCACCCACTTTGAACTTCTTGTGAGTTATAAAGATTTGCTATTTGACAAGTACTATTTTATCGTCTTGTCAGAAAAAAGAAAGCAATGTCAGTGAGATATAGTGAGATATACTTTCAGTATCCCACAAATTTTCCCGCATGACAGATGAAATGAAGGGTAAAGGTAGTATAGCGAAGGAATTGATTAGTCCTAGGGAGAAATGGCATCCATTCAACTCCATGAAGTATATTCAAAGTGTTTAATGCATATCCCGCGTATACAGTGACACTGGTGACTTCCCGATGTATCAAGTCGGTGCTACTTTCCACTCAGACAAGTCTGGCCCATCATGAATATATGATGGCTTTCGTATTTCGAGAGGCAGGGTCGGATCAATGTTTACAAGTGTATTCTAACCACTTTCTTTCACAGAGCCACACCTCTCGGCAACAACACGAATATCAATACGAAATAGAAGGCGATTTTTCGTAAGAGCTTTTGTGAAAAATCTGTTAAGGCAACTTTATGCAACTATCTTATCTATCCCAGGATCAACTATCTATTAACCTCGGCATAGTTCGAATAAATGAGTATCTTCTACTGTTCAGCCGCTCCAAGATGTTATTGATATTACTTATTGAATATCAATCTTATCTATTGTATCAGCCAGGGTTAGTAACCATAGGCATTCACCGGATATGTAAATAATGTAACATAAAATGCTTTTGTGTAGATAGCGCTACATAAAAGTTCTGAAGAATGTGAAGTCGACGAAAAGTCGGCCATCAAATCACTACGACGATAATCTCACTGTGATAGGGTGGTGATTGAATAATCACAGGTTCACAGGTTGTAAGTTTCGCTCTTACTCCAGTATGTGGTTAAATGTGACATCGTAACCTGCCGTTTTATGAAATAGCCAGAAAATGAAGTTAGCAAAAAGTGACATGACAAAGTGACTTCTTGTCAACTCAAGAAAGGTAACTCGTAAACGTTACATCAATCAGTTGTGAATGCTGAGATTTATAGAATATCGATCTCTGTGTTATTTTCTCTTGATTCACAAAAGGTGCAGGCCTCAATTCTAGACGTTGTTTTATGGTAGACTAACGATTGATTTTGGTGCTGAACAACGTTTTGTACGATGATCATTTAGAATTGACAGTGAGCAAATCTTTTTTCGCATTAGTTTAGAGTGATCGAATCTCAGTGGTTTGAGGAGATCTCACAGATATTTTGTTCCTATCAATCAAGCGATAATAAAAATTGGCCTGAGAAAAAGACTTCTTGGCAGAAAGTCTTTGAATTGTGGAGAAGAAGTCTTTTCTATGAGTTTTGGTCAAATATGGTGGTATTTCTGAGCAATGCAATTATTGTTTACATACTTCACCTTTCGTTTTTTGAAATTGGCTCTCAGGTATTCGTAAATTCAATGTGTCGCTGAACATCTAGTTGAGACTATTCTAATCTTCCACGGCTTTTTTTTTGTTGTGCCAAAAACGCGCATTTAATCATATCCAGTGATATTCTCTCATGATAGCCGCTAGCATTTTTAGCGTATCGATTTTCTCTTTATGTTTCATCGAACAATCATTTCTAACTGTTTCCAGTACGTTGAAGAACATCGTAAATATTATGTTTTTCATAAGATTTTCATATTTCATCCTTATTAACTGACCACCTAACTTTTCACGCTTTCGGCTTCAACCTCATTATCAATACGTAACATACGTCATATTAGCCAACTCTACAGGAAACATTCACAAGGATAGAACAAAATATGTTTCACAGAAAAGTCATTAGTGCTGGCAGTTGATTTAAAGCAATAGCAACTAACTTACATGAGTATGAATCTTTAGAAGTGCAAAGAGTAATTACCTAAACATATGAATGACCTTATGAACCTTAATTTTTGTGAATCATGCGGATTACCTCCTTTACTCTCTTTTCTCGACCACCATCTGAGCTACAGATTCTTCTCTTTCGATCTCCTTTCTGCTTTTGTTTTTCTTTCCCCTTTCCTTTCCATAACTCCTATACCGCACGCAGCAGCAGTGAAGCCAATCACCTTCTTACAGCTGTTCAACGAGCTTCATCGAGTTAAATCCTGCCACTTCTTCTACAATGTTTACGGATACGAGAGTTATTAGTTGAGTTTTTCAATGAATATCAAATCCTTCAAAGCCATTACGTCTGTCCTATCTGATTTCCATTTATTTTAGTGGTGACAATTTCTTCTGATCTTCTGCAGTCATGCTTAATGTGACTAGGATGTTTTTTACCCTACCATTAGTCAACGTTTTTGTTTGTTTTTCAGTCGTTGCCCCATTAGATTCTCCGTTCTATTCGATTTTTCCGTTTTTTTCTCCTATGTTCCCCTGTGACGTGACAATTCCAAACGGATGTCGTCACTCTTAATGACATGCTCATTTTCTGACGACACGCATGGTTTCATAGTGTATGGGCCTGAAAATTTCCAACTACATGCAATGGCTTCTATACATAAAAGCCCGAAAACATGCCTAATGATTATTTTTGAGCCACGCATGTGGTCTGTTATGGGAACTTATACAGTGCAATACACATATTTTGGCCTTGACAACCTCGTCAGTCGGGCAGGTAGTTCGTCTTTAGCCAATCCTCTCGAGGGTCCTTCCAACCCCTTACAAAGAGGTAGGCGACGGCGAACGATTTACACAATCGCAGTCAAGTGAAAAATATCTAAATCGGCAATTTTCGACACTCGGCTACTCTTGGCTGGTGTTTTTGAAACAATATACTTTTTGTTTTTAGTGTTTTCGTAAGACCACGCTAAAAATCAAAAACTAACTAGAATAAAATAATAATTAAAGTAGTCAAATTGGAAGTAATTAAATGAAAATCCTTTTATTTAACCGCTTTTAGCGGTGGTATGATCTTTCAAATATACCCATTGATGTAGAGTGACGTGCAAAACTTTCTCGTCAGCCGGGACTAGAACCCGCACGTCACTCTTTCCGGAAGCGCGTGCTCGTCAGTAGTTTAACGGATAGAGCAGCGCTCCCGGAAAGGGTGAGGTACGGGTTCTAATCCCACCTGAAGCAGAAGTCTTGCACATCACTCTACATCAGTGGGCATGTTTAGAAGTAATTAATTAAAGCAATTAAATTAATTTAAATTAGTAATGTTGACATTGTACGAAGTTAGGAACTTTTATGCGCTGAAATAGGCGAACACTAATGAAGGTTTGCTTCATGAATAGTTAGTTTAGTTGCAGATCCGAATGACCCTCCTTTACGAGTCCTGGTGATCTGAGTATATTTGGTCTTGCTCCTTGGAGCCTTTCGTCTGCCCCAATTCGGGGAGGCATAATGACGCTCGCATGTTCAATTTCTCCAGCTTTATATCCTACCGCCAGTTATTGTTCAAAAACTTATTTGCGAGATAAGTGGCACACGTGAGGGACTAAGACATCCGCTCATTTTGTAGAGTGATCGTCGTAGTGGGCACCTACGTTCTCTAGACTCGGCTATGTGTTGTTCTTCGTTTGTCACTGCTGCTTTGTTTTGTGACCAGACAATGTTTTTTAGTATGTACTTTTCTTGAACGACAAAGACAAGGTGAGTAGATTATTTGTAGCAGTTATGCTCGAGAGGGCATCGTCTGAGCACTCTGTCGTGGGTGCACAGAAGTCTCTGTTCGCTAAAAGTGTGAAGCTGCTTAACACAAAGCCAGGAGGACCGTCTAATCAATGCAGAGCTTTGCAGCTGTCAGCTGCTGATCGATGAAATGGCTGGAGGAGGTCCGAACGCGATTTACATCATTTTTCAGCAACAAATATTCCTCACAATTTTTCTTTCACATCCTTTTCAGTTGTTTTCCTCCTTTTCACATGTGTTTTCAAAAGGGAAATTTGTCCTTATCCACCATTTTGTAATTTTTTTTCATTTCGCAGATTCTTTTCAGCACTTTGTTTACTTTAATGATAATCATCGAAAAGATGACGACGTTGCTAGTAAAATAAAGTTCCATAGACATTCTGTCGACAAGAGAGCTGGTTTTGATTTTGTAGTGCAGTCGTAATATCAGTCGAATAGAGTTTTTATGTAGCACACGAGTCCACCTTTCTTTAGTTGACGGGCGCTGATAAAACGATGCTGGTTCTGATGCTACTGAACACTCTTTCATCGTAGACAAAGATTACGACATGACGGATGGCATTTCTGGAAGGCTTTTGAAGACACCGGTTACTCTCTGAACAACACAATACTTGGAAAGCTTTTTGCTCAGTTAGTCGTCTCCCTACTGAACATAGTTCAGAGTGTACATAGAGTGATAGTAAAACGGGCTGTCAGTATTACAAAAGGTTAGAGCACGCACTTCCGAATACAGAGAGATGCGGGTTCGAGTCCCGGCTGCCACGAAAGTTTTGCACATCACCCTACATCACTGGGTATAGTTCACACCATTCCGAAATTTTTCGTTTCTCACACTTTCGAACTCAAAAGTTTCCTCAATGTTGCCAGATATAATAATGTTGGAGAAAACCCTGCTGATAGGATTTTGTGACAATTTCTGTTAATTTCACTGGCAGAAGTTGGCAGAAAAATTGTTTTCTACTGCAGCAAATATTCGAACAGTCATATTCTCGGAAACAAAATAGATATGAACAATGACAACGTCAGTTAATACATAAATTGTTTCTCTATTATCTTTCAACGATATGTCGCTGATGTATTTGTCACATATGGTTTTTCAACAAATTTCTTATCTTTTCTCGATCAATAAACCTCATCACTCTCAAAAAATTTCAGTCATTCTTTATAACTTAAGGGTTACTCACCAATGATGGAAATATTGAGGCGTATAAGAGCGATTGCTTATCAGCTTACTTGTTGAGTTCTGCTTTACCAAATTTGTGAATTATATTTTGCGCTATAATTGAAGTAAGGAACATTATATGTGATTTTTTGGGTATACATAGCATAGTAGTAAAGGTGATATGTGATAATCATGAGGTCACTAGTATGGCCCACGTGCGGCCTTTGTGAGACCACCGTTGACGAATCGATATCACACTTACCTGGATGGCTAAAAAACAAGGCTTTGGTAGACTGATCGGCTTCAACAAGCTGTGATGAAGGCTAATTACCTATTCGCTCACTCCACGATGTTTAATGGAGTAATGCGAGGTCAGATTCACAGCGAGTGATGAATGTCTAATGCTTTGCTTTTTTGTCTTTGTACCTATTATGACATATTCTCGGTCTCTCTCATATCTCTCCGTAAAACAAACAACAAAGTACTTTTTGATTACTCTATTGTTATATTCCCTTTTTGCCCCAATATTCAAGTAATTCGACAAAAGTATATAGATGCCTCACATCAGAGTGACTCCTCACATTTTCATAATGTGGAACATCTGTCAGAATCACGTGGTAAAATAAACTGCACCGTCCCTTGATATCTCTCTTCTCACTTGTTCTTTTGATCCCTTCCAAGTTACCAGTTGCACATTGACCCAAATATCTGTGGGAGAATGTTTCCCTTGTTGAGCACACACTATTCATTTTGAAACCGACCAACATCTAGCTAATGCGTGTATAATCAATATAATTTTTTGAATTGCATAGCTTGGACGAGATTGATTGGAAGTTTCATCCGCCAACATCTCAACTTCTTCATTTTCTTCACGCATGTATGGTTTGATTTGGATGATGACATAGTGTAGGGAAACCCATAATGTTAGGAGAAACGGTTTTGGACAATCCGTTCAAGTTTATCCGGCTCTAGAAAAAAACCAAGACGTCGAAACGTTGGCCAAACAAAAGTTTCAATCATTCATGTACGGTGAACAACCTAAAAAACCATTTACATCCTGACAGCATATTCTAAGCCTTTCATAAGGTCTGTTATAGCGCATATGAAGTGCTAGACACGTGTCTCGGCATTTCGGGCTCATGAATAGCGCGGTTCCTTTCGTTTGAGCCAATCCCTGTAGGAGAGTATGCCCCCTCAATATAAAGGAATCAACGATGAACAACTTACACTGCACGTATATTAAGTGGAAAATGACCCTCCATTGCCATAGTTGACTGCCGATTGATGAATGGCTGGTGAATTTGACAAAATAAAAAGTAAAAGAAAAACGTTCGAATACGAAGGCATTATTAAATTTCCCAGCCATGAGTGTTATCGTAGAGCCCATGACTGTTAAATCGTTGCAATGTCGGGTAATTTTTCACTTGACTCATGCAGCAAAAGTTCTTCGTCGTCGATTCCTTCCTATGTAGGATTATTCCTCTATAAGGAATTGGCTCAAATGAAAGGCACCGTGCTACTGATGAGGCTGAAAGGCCGAAATACGTGTTTCACATTTCATAAGTGCCATGAGAGGTCTCATAAAAGGCTTAAAGGCTTAAAATGAAAAATTAATCTAATCGAGGTCTCAAAATGAGAAAAAGCAATCGAGTATGAAGTATTTAGAATTTTCTTCCAACAAATATTCAGCTGCAGTGTGGGGTGGGGTGTGTTCACCAGTGTAGCGGCTACACAAAGATGATAGAACACAAAAGACTTTACTTTGTGCATTTGGGGAACTTGTCTGTAAATTAACCACAAAGGGGGTTCTCATTTGGTAAAGTTTTATTATTTTACTATTATATTCAAAAACCTCCTCTAATTACGGTATATCATTTTGGTTAACAATCTAGGATCACTCTGCTATGGATATCCCAGAACACCAAAGAGGAAAAATTTTCTGAACGAGCAGAACTTCATCTAAATAAGAATGTTAATTAATGATTTTAGCTCTATCTTTGAAGAAGAAGTGTTCACTTAGTGTTCTATCCCTTTGTTCGCTCAAACTGTTATCTTTTTCGTGGAAATGATCGCCATTTGATGGAGTACCAATTAATTGATTTTATCACGGCGAACACAACTGTCATACCTTTGAGGACAAATCGTCACAACGAAATCTTTTTATCTTGTCTACAACTTAGGAGTAATCATTTCCTGTCCTTTGTCATGGTCTTCGTTGGCATTACAACCAGTAATTTTTATTGTAAAAGGAGAAAAATACTCAACAATGTGCAAAAAACAATCCTATCACATTTTTGCTTTTGTTCTCATGTTTTTCTCTCTAAAAGGTCTATTTTACGGTCTCCTCTGGTTGAAATATTTATACCGAACGAGAGCTTGTTAACATTCCATATGTTCTAACTCTTTTCACCCACCCTGGCAAAGTTAAAAAGTTCCCTTGTTTCTCAATTTATACCTCAGTCCTGAATTCCTCCCTATATGTAGGTTTATGCTCCTTTTCGCTGACTGCTCTAAAAGAATAGCTTCAGATTAGAAAAGACAAACCATCTTATCTCGTATTACTAGTGTTGAGTTGACAAGAAACTTTTCGAACTTCTTCATTTTTGCTGACTACTTCTTCATGGATTTGTATTTTGTTTCTACTGTCGTTTAGAGCAGCTTAACGCGGTTATTTTGATATGATACACTCATAAATTGTTTTGACATGGAATTGTCCCGAGAGCCAAAAACGATTGTTGATGATACACGAGTGTCGTTACGTGCCAGGCAGCACTTAAACCAAACGATACTCGTGTAGCATCAACAATTGTTTTTGCTCTCGGGACAATTCAATCTTCAATCTTGAAAAAAAATGTGTAAGCGTCATATATCAAATAATTATAAGAAGCTTTTCCAAACGATAGTAAAAGCGAAAATTTGAATGCGTGAGGAATAATTAACAAATACGAAAAATCCAGAATATTGATCGCCAATCCAATATTTACCAGTTCATTGCTAGCGAGAACTGTTCATAAGTGTCAAACTATGACGCATAGCCTGAGATTACGAAAAGGATAATCTAAACAAGAGGATGGTCGTGATTCTCATTCACATGCTGCTTGGCCATGATTCACTACGCCATGAGTGAACCCTTAGTTTACATGTGGTTAATTTTTGCCAAGAGTAGTGAGAATAAATGACCTTTTGTCGAAGTATGCAACTTTCCTTGTGTCCCATGAGCAACCCAAGCCACCAGGAAGCTCTAGCATGCAACGGACTTCAATGAATATATAAGTGGTGCCGG